CCCCAGGACCCCAGGACCCCAGGACCCCAGGACCCCAGGACCCCAGGACCCCAGGACCCCAGGGCCCCAGGAAGCAGATTGATCCCTCCAGGCAGTGCCTCACTCCTGGCAGAGGATGGCATGACAGACGGGATAGAGACATTAGCCAAAGCAGACTTCCTGATTCTGAAAGTCTCCTTTCCCCAGGGACTGCCAAATTTAGCAAAGTGCCGTTCCAAGTGCCGTTCCAGCTGCCGTGCCTCCGAGCCCCGTGGGAGTCTAGCTTCCCTGTGGGTGCCGTGCTCAAGGCACTGTGCCCACACCAACTCCCGGGCTCGATTCCCTGACCTGGCCGGGAATGCAGGTCCCCTGTGTCTGGCTTCTTGGAGTCTGGAGCCTCCAGGCAAGCTGATGCCCGATTGCTGCCAGGACACTTTGCCATTAGAAAAGTGAGGGAATCAGCCCCGGCCAGTGCGCTCAGAGGTTAGAACGTCGGCCTATGGACTGAGGGGTCTCTGGTTTGACTCCCCGTCAAGGGCACGTATCTGGGTTGTGGTTTCATCCCAGGCCCTGGTCAGGAAGCGTGCAGGAGGCAACCAATTGATGCATCTCTCCCATATCAATGTTTCTCTCTCTCTCCCCCTCCTTCCTTCCTTCCACTCTCTCTAAAAAAATCAATGGAAAAAAGTATCCCTGGGTGTGGATTCAAAAAAAAGGGAGGGACTCATAGAAGTCATAGGTGAGCAGTCTCCACGGACAGACAGGGAGGCCGAGCCCTCGGAAAGGACCAGAGTCCGAGGGTCGGGGGCAGCTGGACAGGGAGGAGCGTCGCCCGGGCTGGCTGCTGGGGGCCAGCGACGCCTGGCGTGGCACCTCCAAGCCGGGAAAGCACGCGCAGTGCCACGGAAGGAAAACAACCCACCCCTGGGGGGCTAGCTCTTGAAAAAGGTTAAACTTTTTATTTTGAAATGATTTCAAACTTACAGCAAAGCAACAAGAATAATGTTAGAAGGTCCTAACTACCCTCCACTCCGACTTGCAGGTGAACACGAGGCCACCTTGGCTTTCCTCGGGCGTAATCATGGCTTTCCTGACACGTCTGGGAGGGAGCACAGGTCTGCTCCGTGATCTCTAAATACTTCAGTATCATTTCCTAAGAATAAGGACGTTCCCTCACATGAGAGTTACCAAAATTATTATCAAACGATTCTGAAAGTGAGGAAACTTACTCTGGTAGAATGCTGTTTACCAGATCTACCGCCAGATTCAAGTCCCCGGTTGCAGTCCATCCCCAGTGTCCTCCCGGGCCAGCATCGAACACAGGATCACGTGTTGCTTTCACTGTCACGTCTCTTTAGTTGCCTTTAATGTGAAATGTTCCCTCCCCCGTCTTTGTCTTCTGTGGTAACTAACACTTTTGAAATGCACAGAACAGTGTTCTGTAGAATGTTCCTTCCTTTGGTTTGTCTCATATTTCCCCACAAGCAGACTAGGGTCAGCTGTTGTCTATAGAAACCCCATGTGAGGGCCGTCTTGGCCGCTCCCCGAAGCTTGTTGAACCCGGGTCCGGTTGGCCAGAAGGGAATTCTCACTGGAAACACTGACTGAGCCACATCCGGTGTCTCCCTGGATTCTTTGAATTCTGGGATTCCATGGTTCTCTCTCCAAAATAATCTCTGTTAGGTTTTAGAACTTGCCATGAGCTCTTTCTTCAACAGCTAATCTGCTCTGCTCGGGCTCACTCTCTGGGTAGCCCTCGGGGCCGTGCGGGCAGGGAAGTGGCGCAGAGGCAGTGGGAAGCCACGGGCAGTGGTCAGGGCACGGCCACGGCCACGGCCACGGCTGGGCTGTTCGCGCCCAGGGCTGCGGCAGTGACGGGGAAGGTGGGAGGCGGGAGAAAACTCCGTGCACGAGGCCGGGCCTGGGTCTGGATCTTCCTCCTCTTGCCCCTCTGTCCAGAGCTGGACTGTGTTCATTCAGGTAGCCAAGGATCCACCTAAGGGAGAGAAGCCACTTTTCTTAGTTTTCTCGGTGTGAGCACCCCTGCAGGAGCTGGCAGCCGTGCACCGTCTTCCTGCAGAAAATCCAGAAGAGCGGGAGCTGGCACTTTGCTTAGAGCAGGCTGTGAAGGGCTTGCTGGTGAACTCACAAATGGAAGTCTTGTGGCTCCTGGGGCATAGGTCTGGTACCATTAGTGTTACTTTCAACCTATTTGTGTCTTTATGGCCACACCCCCATAAACGTGGAAGGCTGATTGGAGAATCTATGTCTGAGGGGTTGGGGCAAGGGAGCTGGTTGGGGCGGAACAGAGACTGACTGATCCTATTGCAGTGCCCTCATCTCTCACTGAACCCCCTCATCTCTCTGCTGCAGAGTGAAAGTGTCCCTAGGCCTAGAGCCCAGGGCTCCAGGCTGCCGCCAGGATGGTGGGTGAAGGCCCCTACCTCATCTCTGATCTGGATCGGCGAGGCCGTCGGAGATCCTTCGCAGAGAGATATGACCCCAGCCTGAAGACCATGATCCCAGTGAGACCCTATGCAAGGTAAGCCAGGGGAGGGCTGGGGGAAGGCCAGGTCAGGACTTCCAAGAACAGTTTCCAGTCCATCAGAAGAGTGGGGACTGCCCCTGTTCCCCCTACTGTGCTCTCTATGCTTGTCCTTTTGTCTTTCCATTCATCCATCTATCCATCGTCCATCCATCTATCCATCATCATTCATTCACCCACCCTGCCACCCATCCACCCACCCATCCACCCATCCACCCATCCATCCACCTTCCCATCCATCCATCCATCCATCCATCCATCCATCCATCCATCCATCCATCCATCCATCCATCCATCCATCCATCCATCCACCATTATTCATTCATGGACCCCTCACTTCTTGACCCCTCCTCTCCTTGGGTGAGAGGGAGACAATGGCTAATATTTAAGGAGATGCTCACTAGCACCCTATTATATATGGTGTTGGCTTCACACGAACACAATAGACTTACATAATCTAAAGAGCATAGATGCTAATAACATCTAATAAAATAATTAGGAAGTGATGACTTTTGAGTACTTATTGCCTTTGTCTTTAAGATAATTTATGTCATTTGATTTTTAATATTGTCTATGTTTAACAATCCTCTCACAAAATTCCTGAAAATTTACCAATTGGCTNATATTGTCTATGTTTAACAATCCTCTCACAAAATTCTTGAAAATTTACCAATTGGCTCCCACATGCTGGTCCGATCACACTGCTGCTCAGAGAACTGTGGGTGCAAGTCACAGGTTCTGAGCATGGCTGCAGCTATTACTGATGTTAGAACTTGCACCAGGGACTGAGGGCAACGGCCCCAATGTCCTANTCCCACATGCTGGTCCGATCACACTGCTGCTCAGAGAACTGTGGGTGCAAATTTACCAATTGGCTCCCACATGCTGGTCCGATCACACTGCTGCTCACAGGTTCTGAGCATGGCTGCAGCTATTACTGATGTTAAGAACTTGCACCAGGGACTGAGGGCAACGGCCCCAATGTCCTGGAACACCGCTGTCTCATTTGTCTTAGGTTGGCGCCCAACCCCGTGGATGACGCAGGGCTGCTCTCGTTTGCCACGTTTTCCTGGCTCACACCAGTGATGGTTAGAAGCTACAAGCACATGCTGGCTATGGACACTCTGCCCCCACTGTCGCCGTATGACTCATCTGACACCAACACCAAAAGGTACCAGGACTCACTTGGGTCATCTCAGGAGAGGATCCCGCCCCAGAGAGGGACCGTGAGCCCTTTAGTGCTCCCATTTCCCAGGTGTGGAAATTGACACCCACGGGTCCTAGTGGCCCTTCTCAGTGGCTGAGGCGTGGACCGGGCTACCTGAGCTTGGTCCAGTGTCTGGGGAGGTGAGGACTGGGGAGACTTGGTGGGAGACAGGGCGGCCTGAGGCTCAGGACACCTGGCCGGGTGTCGCGGGGTTGCAGGCGCTCTGTGCTGCTGCATGCAGTTCCAGACATCACATTGTGCCCTTTAAAAACCGTGGGTGGACTTTTGTTTCACAAAGCAGGTTTAGGTGGAACCCAATGAAACTGCCAGTACTTGACAATTTCAACTTGCAGAAACATTCGGCCTAATTCACGGTCATTGTAGAAATGTTAAAGCAGCAGCACCCTGCGCAGGGGAAGTGCCCGCACCCTGGCCCGCCCAGCCCCGCAGGCGCTGCTTCTGGGTGGGTCTGCCGGCCGAGCAGTTGTTTCCTTCCTCCCGGCTCCCGGGCGTCATCCTTTCTAACACCTGCCCTGCGCGCAGGTCCTGACGGACCATGATGTCTCACGCGTGGGAAAGCCTTCCAGCTCTCTCTGCGTTTGTTTCCCCTGGAAGTCTTCTCACCTTTGGCCACAGGGGCCACAGGCAAGGCGCAGCCTGGAGCATGTGCTTAAAGGGCGGGGAGTCTCATCGTGGTCTTGCAGCCTCGGTCTTGCAATCCGTCTACAACTGTGCGCTGCGGAAATCTCAGTCCGTGGTAGTTTCCAAAACCTACAGTCTGGAGAAAACCGTCAGTGATTGTGGAAAGAAAGGGGCTGGACCAGGGCCTGGGCCGGGGTTTCTTACCCCTCTGGCCAATACGTCTGCTTCCACGTACCCAGCATGGACTCAGATCCTCTCCTCTTCCAGGCTGTGTCCTGTGCCTAGGGGATCTTGTCCATTCCGAGGGCTTAAACGCCAGCACAAGCTGGCAGCCTTAATGACGCGCTCAGTCCACGTTCCTCCTCCAGGCTCAACTCCTCTGCCCGGCGTCCCTCTGGGAAGCTGCTCGGGGATCTTCTATCTAAATCACCTTCTAGCTGAAGCTGGATTCTTGACCCTCGACCCCACTGACAAGGTCCCCCCGCCTTCCTCCTTTCCCACCCCTGCAACCTCCCCTCACATTTGGCCAAGCCGGAAACCTGGGCTCCTTCGCCCCCTCCCTAAGCACTCACATTGAATTCATCAGTAGGTTCTCTTGTCTCTCTCCATCCATCTTTCCTCAAATCCGTTTCCTTCCATCCAGCGTCAGGCTGCATGTCACCTGGACGCCACATTTCTTACTGTGGTCTCCCTGCTCTTGCCTTTGCTTCCCCGCCATCCACTCTCTCACGGCAGCGGCTGTTTTTAGAAGGACGGCGTCACCGGGTCATGCCCGCTGAAAAGCCCTCAATGGAGTCCTTTGCGTTGGGAGAGAAATCTAACCCCCTCCCCGGGAGCTCTGGCCTTCACAGTGTCAGGCTGGCCCTTCTCCCCCCTCCCCCCCGTCCCACTGTCCTTCTTTCTCATCTTTGAGATGGACAGACTCCTCCCGCCCAGAAAAGGTGTTTCTCTTGATTTCTCCGTTGCCGCTGTCTTTCGTCAGAGCTGGCATTGCGCCAGAGATGGGCAGCGGGAGCAGGAAATGGGAGCCTGGGAAGCGCCCAGTGCCAGGCCCTCCCACGTCCTGTCCATGCTGTAAGGGAGACGGAGAGTCAGTGCCGCTCGTCTGGAGCCACCCGTCCAGGGCGAGGGTCCTGCGATGCACCCTGTCAAGGTATGACCATCCGGGTGGCTCAGAAGGGCAAGTGGAAACCTGAGTCCCTTTCTTCCTTCCTCTTCCGCCCTCACAGATTTCGAGTCCTCTGGGACCAAGAGGTAGAAAGGGCAGGTCCTGAGAAAGCCTCTCTGGGCCGAGTGGTCTGGCAGTTTCAGAGGACGCGGGTGTTGATGGGCACCCTGGCCAACATGCTGTGCATCGCCATGGCAGCCATAGGGCCGGTGAGTGGTGGCCCTCTGCCTTGTCCCCCGGTCCCCAGACTGACAGAGAATGTCATTAGTTATTCTCTACGAGCTGGTGGGTTTAGTGCATTGTCATTATCTTTGAGCTCCTTGGGGGCAGATTTTCATAAAGCTAATCCCCGCCAAGCACAGCAGCAGCCACTGAAATTAATTAAAAAGTTTGCCTTGTCAAGCCTGCGTGCTGACATTCTGGAGGCCGCCCGTCCCGGCCTGCGCCCCAGGGGCCCTCTCCTCTCCCCACCGCGCTGTTTTACAGACGGTCCTCATTCACCAAATCCTCCAGCAGACTGAGAGCATCTCCAGGAACGTCTGGGTGGGCGTTGGCCTGTGCGTAGCCCTTTTTGCCACCGAGTTTACCAAAGTCCTCTTTTGGTCCCTTGCCTGGGCCATCAATTACCGCACGGCGATCCGGCTGAAGGTGGCCACCTCCACCCTGGTGTTCGAAAACCTGGTGTCCTTCAAAACGCTGACACGCATCTCTCTTGGTGAGGTAAGCTGGTCCAGGAGTCTGGCCTAGAAAACGCCATCCTAAGTGTTCTATGTGTGAGGTGTGTTCCCTTTGGCAGTGTCCTGCCCCCTAGGCCCCATCTCCCTGCTCAGTGAGGTGATAGAGACTCAAATCCCTGGAGGCATTCAGGGAAAGGAGGGCTCCATTCAAGCTGCTCCACGGTGGAGAGTTTGGGAAGTCTTCTGTGTCCCAGTTAGGCTTTGGGGTGACCTTGTCCCCTCCCCCCCAATGATTTTTTTTTTAGAGAGAATGGAGGGGAGGGTGGAAAGGGAGAGAGAAACATCGATGTTAGAGAGACACATGGATTGGTTGCCTCCTGCACGCGCCCTGACCTGGGCTGGGGATCGAGCCTGCAACTGGGGTATGTGCCCTTGACAGGGAATCGAACCTGAGACTCTTTGGTGCACGGGGTGACGCTCTAACCACTGAGCAAAACCAGCCGGGAAATCCTCTCCTTTTGATTGTCAGTGAGGGCATGGGAGCGGTACAGAGCCTACGAGAGTCATGTGATAAAACTGACTGGCCAATATATCTGGGATTCCATTTGTGTAGTATTTGGGGTGCCAAAGCCATAATAAAGACCGTGCCTGCTGGACTTCACAGTTGACATTTTCTTAAGCCCTTAATCCTTAGCAATGAAATCCTTACCATGAACACAAGAAGAGTCCTCTGGTCCAGGGAACCCCAGGTGGCGCAAGGTGTGGTCATGACAACCTGTGTCCACTAAGCCTACATCAGCTGCATATAACCCTCTATAGCAATGGATTAAACAAAATTAATCTCTTTCACTCTGTCTGCAAAGAGTCTGGAAGAGGTCAGTGCAGAGCTGGCCTGAGGCCTTCTAGATCTTTCTATCGCTCTTCCCCACTGTCCTGGAACATGGCCCCCAGGATGGTTCAAGGTAGACGCTGGAGACCACGCCATCCCCGCCACACTTCAGATAGCTGGTTGGGGGGGAGTGAAGGCCCAGGCTTCCTTAAGAGTTCATCCCCAAAGTCCCACCTGACACTTCGGCTTCAGTCTCGTTGCCCTTAACATAGTCACATGGCCACACTCCCTCCACAAAGGAGGCCGGGAGGCGCAGTATTTGGCTGGCATGGGCTGCCCTCCCCGAGCCTAGCATGCCAGCGAGGAGCGAGCCGAGACGGCGCCGGCCTCTTCCCGCCCTTGGCTGGGCGCTCAGGTCCAGAAGCCTGGCCTCTTCCAGGTCAGGCGGGACTGAGGCCCACAAGACTCCCTGTGCTGGTCCCAGTGTCCCTCTCCCCTCCTCAGGCGCCCAGCCACGGCGACAGTGCCCGCTGACCCGCCCCCGCCTGACCCGTGTGCTTTCTTCCCAGGTGCTCAATGTGCTATCGAGCGATAGCTATTCCCTGTTTGAAGCTGCCTTGTTTTGTCCCCTGCCAGCCACCATCCCCGTCCTCATGGGTGTCTGCGCGGTGTACGCCGTGTTCATCCTGGGGCCCACGGCGCTCGTCGGGATAGCCGTGTACCTCGTCTTCATTCCCATCCAGGTACGGGGCGGCCCGTCCCCGCCACCGTCCCTGCCACCATCCCTGCCACCATCCCCGCTCCGCGCCTGCCTCCCGCACGCGCACTGCCGGGCGGCTTCATTCCCAGGCTCGGCCCGGAGCCGGCGCCCCCCGGTGCTCCCAGACGTGCTCTTCTGGGCACAGTGTAGTTTAGAGACAAACACAAAGCTTGAATTTGAATGTCCCGGGGAGGGGACAAGGCGTGCTTCTCCCATTTGCCAGAGCCCGGGCGCCGGCTGCACCCCGTGGTCCGCGGAGCCACGCCACTGGCCCATGCGTGCTGGCCCCGGACCCGCGGGCCCGGTGAGACGCTCAGGCCAGCTTCCCTGAGGACCTCTCCTGGCCCTGCTACTCCAGCCCCTCGGCTTCAGGCCAGCTGCAGCTCCACACTTCTCCAAAACGGCATCTGTATCTTGATTTCAGGTGTTTATGGCGAAGCTCAATTCAGCCTTCCGAAGATCAGCAATTTCGGTGACGGACAAGCGGGTTCAGACCATGAATGAGTTTGTGACCTGCATCAAGCTGATTAAAATGTATGCCTGGGAGAAATCTTTCACCAAGACCATCCGAGGTGGGCTGTGCAGCGGCTTGAGGCAGAATCACCCTGCAGAACAGGCTCTTCCTAAGGGGTCCTGAAGTCTCTGGGGCTGGGCATGCCAGAAGGGGGCTGATGGGGCTCTGAGTGGCCCCACAGGCTCTTCAAAGGATCAGGGAGATTTTATAATAGAAACAGGCATCTGTTCTGGTGAGGCCAGGGCTCAGCAGGTGAGTACCATATGGTTTGTCCTTTACTGGAGCAGATGGATGCTGGTGCTGACCAGTTAGTTACCTTTTCCAAAAATAATCCACTAAAACATTGTGAGCAGAAGAGCTGTCTCAAGCTATTTCCTTGAGTTAGAAGATGTCTACACATACACACACACACACACACACACACACACACTCACACATAATCCCCTCCATGCCTGCAGAAGCCTCATTGTCACTGGGTGACCCACTGGCTTGACATTTCTGCGCAAACGTGAGGATGCATAGATAGCTTCTCTCTGAAAGACGATATTAAAACCATTTCAATCAAATATAAATGCAAATCTAATTGCAGGAACATTTACATAATTGCTGACAGAGACTCAGGTGCTTGGCCGGTTAATGGTCTGAACCACTGTTACAATTGACTCCCCGGATCTACAATTACACTTCTAGGCCAGCATGTAATTGGGCCTGAAGCTTCGTATCTGCGTTTTAGGGAGCAGCTTGCCCAAGGAAGGGCCCAGGTCGGGCCACGGGCCACTCCACAGCACCTGCTTTGAGGACCCAGAAACGCTTCCTCACCCATGAACTCACTTCAGTACAATTGACTTGATTGGAATAAATTTGTTTCCATGTGACTTAATTCAGTTTAACACAGGTCAGATTAAGTCAATAAGCATTTACCAAGTTGCTGCTGTGTGCAAGGCCGTGAGAGGTACACAGTGATCAGTGAAAGGGACCCTGCTTTTAAGATGAAGGAGGGACAAGCTAACTGAGCTCAGAATAGCTCCAAGTCTGTCAGCTTTACCTCCAGCATACCTGGAGTCTGTCTGCCTCTCTTCACTTCACCCCAGTGTGGTCCAAGCCAGTTCCTCTCCTGGGCTACAGCAGTATTTCCAGATGCAGCCCCTGCTGTCCTCTCCCCCCGCCGAAGTCCATTAGGCCCTCAGCAGCCTGAGTGACCTTTCTAATGTCAATCAGGTCCCTCCCTCCCCTGCTGGAAAATCTTTAGTGGCTTCTCATCACATTGAGATTATTGAAAGTGAGGACTTCGAAGGAAATCCAAATTCCTTCACTGGCCTATTACACCCTATTAGACCCAGCACGGCCCAGCTCCTGCTGACCTCACTGACCTTATCTCATCTCACCCCAACACCCGATGACTCCCTTGGGCCACTCGAACCTTCTGTGTGGTTTTAGAACAACAGCTGCACTCCCTCACCCTCAGGACCTTGGCAGGTGCTGTCCCTCTGCCTGGAATATCTTCTGCTGCACGTCCAAGAGGACTTTGTCTTGACTTTGGGTCTCCTCTAGGTGTCACTGACTCAGCGGCCTTCTTGACCAGAAGGTCCAGTCCCCACCACTCCCTCTGAATCACTTCACCTGCTCATCTCTTTCCTGTCACCCAACACAATCTGTGACGGCCTTGTCTAGTTGTTTAGTGTCCATCGCCCTCCTGGGAGAGAGCTGAGACCCTGTCCACCCTGTTCCCAGCACCCAGCACAGCACCTGGCACGTTGCAGACATCAGATGAGAATGTGCTGACTGGGGGGACATGTGAATCAACTGTAAGATAAAATGGGTAAAATGCCATAGGGAACCAGAGATGCTCCAGAGGGGCGCGCACGTGGGCTGGAGGGACAGGCATCTGAGTGTGCGAGTCCGGATACCCGGAGACTCAGGATTGGAAGTGGCCTTGGAAACCCTCCAGTACTGCAGCCGGCAGAGCGTCTGGCTTTGGGCCCTGGCTTCCTGTGCTTCCTCCCATCTGAACTTCACAGCAGGAAACCTTAACACATTTGCAAGGAGGAGCAGGCAGGTGCTTGACATGCAAAACAAGACCACAGTGGACCGTTTTCTACTTTGCAGATATAAGGAAGAGGGAAAAGAAGTTACTGGAAAAAGCTGGATTTGTCCAAAGTGGAAACTCGGCCCTGGCCCCCATTGCGTCCACCATTGCCATCGTGTTGACCTTCACCTGCCACATCCTCCTGAGACGCAAGCTCACCGCCCCCGTGGTAAGGTGCCTCCCGAGCTGGCCTCTAGGGCACCTGACTCCCGCAGGTGCCCGTGGGCAGCTCCCCCCACCTCTGCCTGCACCGGCATCGGGCCACCCCGCCCCCTGAGGATGGGCCCGGCTACGCAGGAGTTGCTCACACTTTTACACACAAGCGCGGGGGGCGGGGGTGATGAGGGGAGCCACGCAGCAACTCCTCCAGTCCGTGCGGGGCAAGGGTCGCAGTTAACGTTGCAACGCAATCTAACATTTGAAAAACAAAATTGAAACCAAACAAGCAACTGCCAGATTGTTTCCTACAGTGGCTGCACTGTTAGATCCCCACCAGCGGTGCACAAACAGGGTCCCGCGTTCTCGCCACCTCTCTCCTCTCCTTTTCGTCATAGCCACCCTAGTATGCGGAGTGGCGCCTCACCACGGAGGGGCCGCTGTTTCTGTCTGTCGCAGGGAGAGTCCTAACCGATCAGCAGGCCCGACGTCGGGTCGGTGGGCCCGGCGCGCTCCGGTAGGGCCTGGCAGTGGGCGCAGGCGCCATTCACCCTCCCGTTGGAGCCTGTTCTTAACCCCTGCGTTTATCTCCCCAGCTCCGGCCGCCACACACAGTCTGTGTCTAGGGCTCCTCTGATTGTGTTAAAGAAGCAGAAGGCAGAGGGTCTAATTCATGTTGATACTGCTCAAAGGAGAGTTTGTGGGGGTTCCCTGGGCAGGCAGAGTTGCGGGTCCTGGACAGGTGATGTGGGATTAGGGCCAGATTTATGGCAAATGCAGAGCCTCTCTTGCCTTGATTTTATGGGGTGTGAATGGGCAATGAGAGTCCCCGTGGTTGTGAGCACTGCTGCTCCCCCCAGCCTCGGAGTCAGGGGGAGCCCAGAGATGACTGCAGGGCACTCAGGTGTCTTAAAGGGGCCTGTGCTTTCAAAGGTAAAGAAACTGAGCTGGTGGGAAAACGGCCCTGGGTAGATTAAAGAGACAGACAACTAAAATAGTAAACACATTGTCTGAAGGGTAAGTGGTTGGAGGAAAGTCAACAAAAGCAAGAAAAACTTGGAGAGAAAGAATGAAAAGCTAGTACAGGGAGGCTCCCGGGGGAGGAATTGCTCCAAGCCCGGGGTCCTGAGGGGAGGATGGGGTGTTTGAGAAGACGGGTGCTCTGCAAGGGCGCCCCTGCGCTTCCTGGGAGGTGATTTCATTTCCTCAGCGTCTCTGAGCCCGTTTACTCTTGCACAGCCTAGGAGCTGGGACCCAGCCTCGACTCTGAACGGCCTGGACAGAATGCTTCCCCATTACTGTGACTGCTTTATGGTTCACAAACAAACAAACAAACAAACAAACAAACAAACAAACAAAAAGTTTTCCCCCCAACAACCCACCAAGCAAATTAACTTGAAACCAAATTGAACACACATAGTATTTTCTAAAACGATGATTTAGAAGAAGGCTAGACCAAGAACAGAGTCCCTGAACGCAAGGTGGGCATTTCTGTGGGCCTCTCTGCCAGGCCTGCCTGTCTGTAAGGGGTCAGCCCCAAGGTGCTCGGTCCCACCTGCCAGCTCAGGTGGCCTGTCACCCAAGGCCTGTATTTCCTGAGCCAAGACAGTGCTCCTGGCCCTGGGGCCCTGAGCTCTTTGGAGATAGATTTAGGACCAGATGTGATGAAGGAAGCATCCTCCATTGTTCTCTTAATGGACTAACGAGGCTTAGCTGAAGCCCGGGCCCTGTCCATGGGGCTCACTCAATAGCAGGCAGGATCATTCCGAATTTGTCAATGGAAGTTGTGTGATTTACCCCTTGAATGGGTGGTGAGGGAGGTGCTGCCAATCAGAAGTTGGACAAATGAGAAGATGATGCCTGAGAGAGTAGACCACTCACCCCTGGGCGCCACCGGAGCAAGGAAGCCTGTCTTCATGGCCTCTATGATATTGACAGCCCATGGCCCAGGCTCAGTGAGAAGGGCCCAGTGAAGAGGGGAGGTGATTTTTTGCGGGATGGCAGTTGAACAAAGGCTCTCAAATCTGTCCTTGGTGTGTGGGAAGGTGGGTCGTGGAGGCCAGACCCTAGGGTGGGAGAACCAGAGGTCATTCTCAGAAGCCAGCCAGGGCCAAGCAGGTCCTTCCCAGGAACCTCTGCCATCACCCCCGGGGCTATGTGTGGTTCAGATAAGGAGGCTCATATTCCAAGGGCCAGGTGCTTCTGAAGCAATTCAGAGAAGGAACAACTTGGGGAGCGCTACACAGGGTTTTGAGGGAAGGGTCTTGAGTACGAATGTGGTTTGGGTGGAGGTTTCCGAAGGCACTCAGTGAGAGGCCTCCTTCGGACCTGTCCTCTCTCCCTCGGGCCTGTCCTCTCTGGATTGACAGAGACAAGGGAGTAGAGTTCCACTATTTTGGTGAAAATCCAAAAGCAAAATATATTAAGGTGTTCATGTTCCTAATTTGCCAACCCTTGATCTCTGAGCCATGAAATGAAAAACATTGCTCCTCTGGGAATCCCAACCATGCCAGGGTCTCCCATCTGAGTACGTCTGATCTGTGGACATCACGGTTCAGAGCCAAGGCCACCCGCCCTGAACCCGATCTCTCTCGCTCCTCAGGCATTTAGTGTGATCACCATGTTCAACATGATGAAGTTCTCCATCGCAGTCTTGCCTTTCTCCGTCAAAGCAGCGGCCGAAGCCAGTGTCTCTCTAAGGAGAATGAAGGTATAGCTAACACTGGGTGAGTAGGGATGAGAGATCTCATTTTTGGGTGGGGAAACTCCCAGATACGGGGGAGCTGGCTGAGTCAACCCATTGGAGGGCTGGGTCACTGGCGTGGACATGGGGAGAAGGCCCCCGAGCAGAGTTGGATGGGTAAGTGTGCGTGGAGGAGGGTATGGGTAGAGTTTCCTAGGTGGTCCGCCCTTTTAGGAAAGGTGAGATGGAGTCTCTGTACAGAGGGACGATCCACTGACCCTCGGTCCTTATCGAAGCCCTAAATGTTAAGTTGTTCCAGGAGCAGGGCTGGGCTTGCGCTGAGCCACCCCCCCCATTGCCTGTCTGGCTTGTGCTGTCACGGGTGTGGCGATGGAAATGGTGGGGGGCGTCCTATTCATGCGACACTTAGTCGCTTTACTCACTCGATTATTTGTTCCTTAAAGACTGACTGTGTGCTTCCTACGTACAAGGCATTGTGGGAAATGCAAGTACAAGGAAGGGAGAGTCTTTACTCTCAAGAGCCCCCAGTAAGTGTAGGGGCAGGTGCCCCAGTAACTGCCATACACAGAGAGGAAATAAGCGACCCACAGGAGGGCAGATAAAGTGGTTCTGATGTTGAGGTAAGGACCGAAGGAGGAGGGCACTCCGGACAAGAGAAGAGCATGCCCACGTGCCCGTGAACCGACGGGAGGCCTTGCTCACTGCAGCCAGAAGTCTGGACGCCACCCCCGGCATCCTCAGTGTCTGAATCCCTCTCTCCCTACCGTCCACACTGACCCAAGCGAGCCCAGCTCGCTCATCTCCCGGTCACTAGTTCCCTCCATTTTAAAGGGCACCATGTGTAAGATCGTTTAGAAGGTACACTGTTGTAGGATCACTTTTTGAGTAAAAGACAAGAATCAGCACCCCCATATTAATTGTGTAGAGGACAGTGCCGGATATCTTAGCCTAGGACAGTGGACAGCGCTGCTTTTTGACTCCTCAGGCTCCTCTCGGGCCCTGCAGCCTCACCCTCATTCAGTGCTTCATCGTCTCTCTTCTGAACTATCGCAGTGACTCGGGCAAACTGTCCTTTCCCAACACTGTCCTCCTTGCATTCAGACTGTGTCTAGCACCTGAGAGCTGTGACAATGTTGGCATGAACACTGGTATCACCTTCTGGAAGTCACTGAATCTTGTCGCCTCAGGAGTGGGGCTGGGCCCTCCGTCAGCAGGTCCTCAGTTAGATCTCCCCCTCACTTCCTATCCCCTCCCCACCTCGAGCTCTGGGCCTCAGTAGCCCTGAGTTGCCAGTTTCACTCCCACCCCCGCTCCAGCAGACTGTGCTATTGAACATCTTGCCTTGGCTTAGGCTGTGCCTGGGGCAGAAAGCTCTTGCCCCCTGGGCCCACTCTTGTCTCTGCCTGCACAGCACCTTCACAGGCTCAGCTCAGGTGTCAATGACGTGGCCTCTAGGATGGGGAGCCAGGTGCCCCTCTCCAGCTTTGTCCCTGCCACATTTCAGAGATGATCTGTGCATGTCTTGCCCTCCCCTGAACTGTGATCTCTTCAAGGACAGGAGCTATGCCTTTTCATATGGCATTTCTGCTGTTACCCCAGACTCTGGTGCAGAGCAGGCACTTGGCAACTGTTTTGTTAAGCTCAGCTGAGAGGGGACCCAGGAAGGGGACACAGCAGAGACTGAGCATGTGACTGTGGTTTTATAAGCAGTAGTACCAAGCGAGGAAGCCCACCACCCAGAGACGGGCAAAACCCAATGCCTTGAGCACGAAGGTAAATGTAGCTGCCATGAGCATTCTCCATGTGGGTGACCTACACAGCCCGGTGGTTAGAGAGCCACCGTCCTACACAGTATGAGCTGGGGGACTATTGCTGTTGCAGTTTCTCCCAGGAAACTATCCTCAGGATCTCTCTCCTGGACATCCTAGGTAGAGTCGCCAAGGTTGTGATTTGGGGTCATTAGAAGATATATTGGGATGATTCTTGCAAATGGATGACATCTATACAGTTAATTTTGTTTCTTTGATCTTAGAAAATTCTCATAGCTAAAAGCCCCCCATCTTACGTCACCCAGCCGGAAGGCCCAGACACTGTCTTGCTTTTAGCAAATGCCACCTTGTCTTGGGAGCAAGAAGCCGGCAGGAAAAGCAACCTAAAGAAACTGGAGAACTGGAAAACACATTTGGTTAAGAAACAGAGGTGGGAGACATATAGTCTGAGTCCATCGGCCCAAGAAGCTGTTGGCCTGGAGGCACAGAAGGGCGGCTGCAAATCAGCTCTGCACAATATCAGCTTTGTGGTGAGAAAGGTGGGTACAGGCCTCGAGGTGGCTCCAGGGTTCCTCTTTGTGCCTTGCAGCCAGGGCCTTCTCAAGGCCTCTTGTGATGCAGTTTGGGCTGGAGGTGGTGGCGTCATATTTTAACCTACTACCCTGTTGACTGACCTCTCCCTGTGCGAGCACCATAGGAGGAGACGTTCTTGCTTGTTGAGCGGTGCTGAGCTCAGCGGGTGGAGCGGTACCTCGGTAGCCACCCAGGCTGTCCGCCATGTAGTCCCTGGAAATGGGGTTCAGTCGGCTGAGTGCCTCGAGCCCAGCTGGCTGTCTCTTCCCTTTCCCCTGCCTGAGATCCCCGGCACCCGACTGCTCCCCAGACGTCTCAGTGAACGGCTCTCCCGTTCTAGAGAGAGCGGCCTTCCAGCCCCCAGTGCTTTCCTCTTTCTCACTATGTCCCTAGCTTCTGGACTGGTGCCTCAAGGATGTGGTCGTGTTTTGTGAAATAAGTTGAAGATCTGGTTGTGTGGATAAAGGGTGCTCCTGGGGAGGCTGGGAACCTGGGTCCGAGTCCCAGCCCCTCACCTGCTGGCGACCGTGAGTGCTGCGTTACTAACCTCTTGAGGCCCATTTCTTTACCTTGTTGATGGACATTAATAATAGCGCCACTCACAGGGTGAGTGTGGGGACCGAGAGAGACACCGCACGCAAATACTGACCCTGCTGTATGTCTCCACTCGCGTTAGCTGTGATTGTGGCCTTTTCCCTCTAGCACAAGTCCAGCTTAATTGTTGCTCTTAAATGTCCTAAGTTCGGGGCACCCATTTGTTCCACGATTCCATCAGACGGCAGCCTCCGAGAGGTCGGGGCGCGTACTGTCTTGGTCACAGTGCGGCCTTAGCTGAGCCCAGGGCCCGGCACGGAGCTCCCAGTGCTGTTTTCTGAATGAGCACATGGGGGCCCCGCGGGCTTTCTGCTACAGACAAGGGGGAGTGTAGAGTGCTCAGGCCCGGCCCCAAGACAAGGACAGGACTCAGAGGACAGCCAGGTTGCTCGGGGAAGCTGGATATCTGGACCTGTGATCTCTTGGTCCCCAAGTCTCCATAATGCCTCAGTTACTCAAAGTCCTTGTAGTGGAATTAAAACGAATCAGCTTCATTTATCAGCGGCATCCATAAGGCAGGGGCCACACCCACCGTGATCACCACACCCTTTATCCCCCCGGGACTAGCATGTGCCTAGTGTGCAGTAAAGACTTGTCAAAGGAATTCATGGTGACAGGCAGCACCCCTCACGTGCTGGGTGGCGGGCAGGTGATGGCCCATCTTGTGTAGCTCAGGTGCGGAAGGAGCCGTATTTGGCCCGTGCAGGCAGTTTGCTCTCGGGGGAGCAGGTCTGAGACGGTCCACTAGGGGCACTGCAGCACCTGCCTGAACACGAGAGCGGGCATGTGTCCTGCTCACGGGGATTCTTGCTCTGCGGGCCATGGCTTCCCCGGACGTGCACACGGCTCACTCCCTCACCTCCTTTGGGTCTTACTCAAATGTCACCTGGTCAGGGACCTAGCCATGTGCGCTGGCCGCCTTCCACTTGCCAGAGGTGCCTCTGGGCCTGAGGGCCCTCTCCATCACCCACAAAGTGCCAAGACACCAGCAGCCAGGGAGCAGATCCCAAACACGGACCGTTGGGAATTTTCCCTACTCCCTCCGCTATGGGGGTGATGCAGTGCTCAGTCTCCCAGAGTTCCCAGAGTGTCCCAGCAGGACTGAGCTCCCGTGCCGCCTGTGGGACCTGACCTGACACCTTAATGGGCCCCCTTCCATGCCCGGCCTCTTCCCAGCTGCTGTCGCCCCGCCTCCTACACAAGCTACTTTCACTCAGATCTTTGACTTAGGGCCTGTGTCTGGGAGGCCTCTCGCTGAGACCTGTGCCTTCCCAAGAAGGCTTCTCCAGCTCCTCCCTGACATTTGTTTCCATGGTACGCACCTGACATGCTCCAGATTTTACTAACTCATCTTATTTACTGCCCATCCCCCAACAAGCATCAACCTCTGTTAGGCTTGCTTTCCCCGGGCCTGGGAGAGGGACAACCCTAGAGTCCAGGGTGTGTGTCCCAGGCCAGCACTACGCTGTTTCACACCTGTGCGGTACCTGGAAACTCAAAGCCCTCCAGGCGCTCTGCCCCTCCGGGCTGTGCAAGGGGAGGCGCTTATTTAAGACTTGGGTTCCTGTGTTCTCCCAGGCTGTGTGTCCAGGCCCGGTGTGAGGTTGCCCCGCCACCCCCTAGAGCCATCCTTTGTCCCCACCTGTACAGTTTGGAGGCGACAACTTTGTCCCAAGACCCTGTAAGAACAGGGAGAATGACAGTGTCTTTTCTCTGCTTCTCTGGTAGGGAAAGGTCTTGGGGATTTGTGGGAACGTTGGGAGCGGGAAGAGCTCCCTCATCGCAGCTCTGCTAGGACAGGTGAGCTGTGTGGGGTGCCTGTGAGGATGGAACACTGATGTGACAGCGACAAGGTCCCCTGAGAGAACAGTGGCTCCTGAGGCCGGGCTCGGAGTTAACGACGATCATGTCCAGGAGGTGGATGTGTTTGGCAGCTCCACGCCCTGGCCAGACAGGCGCTGAGCTTCTCACAGACTCTCGGGTTGGCCTCCCAAGGATGTGTGTTAAGTGGTGACTGCCTCCTTGCCCAGAGCTCCATCAGGTCATTAAATCCATGGCTTTCCCCAAAACTCGAGCTGTCTTGATTAGAAAGGCCAGCAAGGTGTCTTGGCAGGGAACAAACCCAGGAGCCTGTGACTCACGATGACTTTGGATGAGTTTTTCCCGTGATGTCTGCGCAGGGCAGCTGTTCAATCAAGCCTTCCTCGAGGAGGGAGGGGCTGAATGCAGGACTGAACTAGAGCAGCCATGTGCCCTCAGCTTCTCTGCAAAGCTGTGGCAGGAAGACGGAGGAGCCCGGCCCCGTCCACAGCAGTGCAGGATAGGCCCCGCCCCGGGGCCTGGCGGAGGGGGATCCAATCAGTGCACCCTGAAGAAAAGGGAGCCTTTGTGATGGGTTTACCTTGCACCCAGGTGCCCTGTGGGCTGGCAGCATGGCAGCAGCCCTCCAAGCCATGCTTTTAGCCAGCAGCAGGATCTGCTCTTCCAGAAGGTTCTGCCTGTCCCCCTGCAGATGTTTGGCATTGAGGCCCTTGATCTGCACAGATGGGCTTTGGAGCCTGTGGACAAGACATACTGTCACTCTCTCACACTTTCAGAATGAGTGCTCATGGGATAAAGGGGTGCAGGTGTCCAATGCGCCCCTGGGGAGACATTGGCGAGATTAGCTTCTGAGGGTCTCTGGTTTTGTGTCTCCAGATGCAGCTACAACAAGGGGTCGTGGCGGTCAGTGGGACCCTGGCCTATGTTTCCCAACAGGCATGGATCTTCCACGGAAGTGTGAGAGAGAACATACTGTTTGGAGCAAAGTATGATCACCAAAGGTAATGATGCTAACTTTGAGCGCACAAGGCTTGGCGTTTGGGACCCTCTGCTTCAGGCGCCAATGCCATTGGTGACAGGTGTTCAGTGGGCTTCTCTAATGATTAAATACTGATTGGACCTGAATGGGTGCTGCTGGTTCTCTTCCTGACCCGAGTTCAGGAGAGGCGCCCCCGCAGACCTGGGTCGCGCTCCAGGATGTGGGTGGCATCAGCCCTGGCTCCCGGTGCAGAGCAGCATGCGCTCAGAGGGCCTGTCTCCATGCAGGTGTTGTCTGCCTGGAGGAAGGTAAAGCCGGCCACTTGGCTTTCGGCCAAGTACCCAGAACTTGGCTTGAAATGGTGAGCAGTGTGTATGCACTGAATCAGCCCTGAAGTTATTGCCTGGCCTCAGAGCATCGGGATCTATTGCTGTTGATGTCCTCAAAGTGATCGAATGGAATAAAAGCAAAGTTCGAGTCATAACTTTGCACACACTGTGGACCATTGTCTCCTAGCTCAGGTTTCCCATGGTTATTTGCCAAGTTTGGGGGGCTGTACTGTCCAGTGTCTCATTAGAGTTCCAGAATGACCTGTTTAGGGGGACCCTTGCCTCGAATCCCCATTTTATAGAGGAAGCGGCTGAGGCCCAGAGAGGAGAGTTGATCTGCCTTAAAGGCAGAGCTGAGGCCTGAACTCTGGGGCAGCATCATTGGTTCCTGCTGGAGCTGCCTGGCAGCTCGGTACCCCTGGAGCCTCCCCAGGTGCCATGATGCAGAAGTGAACACGAATGGAGTTGATTTCATGAATCAGCCCTTGGCTCTCCAGGTGCAGGCAGCCTGTCAAGCGGAACAGAAACCTGGGCCCAATATGGGACCCAGCAGCTCCTTGGACGAGCACAGCTTGGACTGCCACCAGGGACCCCAGAGTGGGAACCAGCTCCCAAGGTGGCTCTGTGAGCACTGAGGTGTACAGGGCGCCATCTGAGTGGGCTCTAGGTGCAGAGGAGCCGAGGGAGGAGGCTGTGGGTTCTCTCATGGCTCAGGGCATGGGCATCTGGAGCTCCTGACCACTAATGTACTGACTTTTTGGGCTCCCTGGATGTCAGAAGTCCTCAAAGAGTGCGGCTGGGGTCATGCCCAGAGGTCTCTGGACCCCAGCTTTGCTGTCCTTTGCAGGACAAAGTGCTGGTCCCAGCAGTGTAGCTTCTGAGGGGTGGTAAGGGCCTTCCTGACGAACCCCCAGAACTAGATGGTGGGTGATGCCGAGAGGCTGAGAGGGCCAAGGAGCTGAGCTCTGACTCCCACTTGGCCTGTCTGCCCCTCAGGCCATACTCTCGGGGCCTCGGTGTCCTTGGTGTCTTGGTAGAAGTGAATGGCTAGATGAGCATCCTGGAGCAAATGCCAGGGTCACCACTGGTAACCACCAGCTGCCACCCTCCACCTATACACCTTCTCTTCCATTCGTGGTCTTCTGTCTTGGAGCCTCCGCAGCAACCTCAGCCCACATATGCAAAGACTCCTTTTCTGACTCCCACGAGCAGCGCCAGCAGCTGGTCCCCACACTTTTCAGGGATTTCACATGCCCTGATTTCATCGTCCCCGCGTGGTGGGAACACTGTGAGGAGAGGGGCCACCTGAGCCAACTCTGTATCAGATGTGGGGCAGCAAGGGGCCAGGGGAAGCTGCCTTGGACATCAAAGACAAAGCAACTGGCCATGTCCTCACTTTGCCCAGTGACAACAGCAATGTCTGTAGATGCAACCCAGGGCAGTGATGACGCTGGGGTCTTCCTCACTATGCTGACTGCTGACTTCGGACCTTTGCAACCACAGGTACCAGCACACGGTGCGTGTCTGTGCCCTCCAGGAGGACCTGAGCAGCCTCCCTTACGGAGACCTGACCGAGGTGAGCAGAGCAGGGAGCTCGGCCCCACGGCAGCAGCTCCTCAGCTCAACTCCCCAGGGACAGAGGGCGGAGGCTAGGCAGCCCCAGCTCCATCCACATCAGTGCCCCGGAGGACAGAAGGGTGCCAGGAAATGCGGCAAAGTCAGGCTCTCCCATCTTGAATTCTCCATCTGGGTCTGTTCTTGGGGGATACCCCAATGGGGTGGCACCAGCTCCACTTCTGTTGGGTTCAGCGTTGCTCCTGGGGCCACTTTCAATCTGCCTGTCATCTTTGGGAAGGTTTTTGGCCAAAGCTGTTTGCTCACCTCGAGGGCAGGCTCTGTCCTCTGGAAATGGAGGTCCACCTGCTGGACTCTACTGAAGTCTCAAGGGCCCCTTTTTGCCTCAACTGTCCCTGCTGGGCCCAGGAGTATGAGGGTTACCTCCAAACACAGCCCCTGGCTGCTGGTCCATCAGCTCCCAGCCACTCCCTCCTGGGAGCTTGTCCACTCTCCCAGAGCTCTTTGCTCCACAACTCTCTTCAGCGTGGTGATCAAGACGCAGCCCCTCCTAAATGGATGCGCCCCTGGATGGAGAGCCAGGTGCCTCAGTTGACATTGGGAAGGGCTTCTCCCCAGGTGCTGCTGCCCACCAGGCTCTCGGCAGAAGTGGGGTCTTCCACTGCACAGAACGTTGGTTGTCAGGGTCCCTGCAGGGGTGGAGAAGCTGAGACGTGGTGATGGTCAGGCTGCAGAAGAGTCCTCAGGGGCTTCAGGAAGCTCCTGCTCCCTGAGGACTGTGGGGTGGCAGGGGGGCTGGGTAACGAGCAGTAGCATTGCCTTTGTCCACAGATCGGGGAGCGGGGCCTCAACCTCTCCGGGGGGCAGAGACAGAGGATCAGCCTGGCTCGTGCCGTCTACTCCAACCACGAGATCTACCTGCTGGACGACCCCCTGTCGGCCGTGGACGCCCACGTGGGGAAGCACGTCTTCGAGGAGTGCATTAAGAAGGCACTCAGGGGGAAGACGGTTGTCCTGGTGACCCATCAGCTGCAGGTGACTGGGACTGGCAGGATCCCTGAGGTTACGGCATGGGTGTGATACCTGATGCCGTGGTCTCCTCTTCCACCTACGTCTGTCTCTCCTGTCCTAGGCTGTCCTCACCTGGACAGTCAGGGAAGGAGCAGGGTGTGGAGACACCTGTAACATCCTGGCTTCCCCAGAGCACTGCCTGCCCCTCTCTCTACATGGCCTTGATTGGTCCTAACTTCGGCTCAGTGGAGCCAAGACCCTCCCTCCAACAAAGGGCAGATTCTCCAGGAGCCATGGACCCCTACCTGCAGGGTGGACATGGTACCTCCTTCAGCTCTGGGTCATGGGTGGTGGGGAGATGGGAAACCAAACAGCTGGGTTTTCCATGTGGGGCCTACCTGATTTCCTCTGAGTTGGCTGGATCACCTCCAGGAAGCATCAGGCTGGGCTGGTGAGGACAAGAGCCCTGGTTCATCTACCGGCCAGGTGTCTGGGTTGGGGAGAAGGTTGGATTCTGTGGGCCTCATGTGGGAATGGGCTCTTGTCCAGTCAGGGGCTAAACATGCTGACCACAGCTCTGCACCATGAAGGCCCAGTCCACGGAGACCACCTGCAGTGGAGTGTGGGGTGCTATCATCCTGAGGAGTCCTGGGGGCACCTGACAAATGGGGTCACAGCGTCCTCCAGGGGTTCTCGCTGGGAGCACAGTAACCTCCACCCTGCTCCAACCCTTGAGCCTCGCTAACCAGCACTAAGACCTCAGGCAAGAAGGACCCTTCCCCAGCCGCGGTCTCCTCCAAGACTCCACCTTCCACCAGGGTTGCTGCATCGCACACTTGGCGTGTTGAAAAACGCAGGCAGCCACCAGGTGGCGCCGGAAGCTCAGTCCAGCTGTATACAGTTGGGGAGCAGGGGGCCCTGAGCCCCGACCCCAGGCCCCTGGCCTTTTCCAGAACATTTCTCCGCTGCTTGTTCTCTGGGCTCACAGGCATGCTTCCAGGTGCTTCTGGCTCTTGGGCTGGATTGTTCTTCTGTTACTTGAGGCCGGTGCTGGGCCACTGGAATCCAATCTGGCTCAGATTTTATGGGTTTGCAGAACAAAGCAGCTTAAATCACACCACGTGAACTGGGGCTCGCTGGCCAGAGGGGCTTCACCAGGAGCTTCTGGGGCTTGAATGTGTGCCCCCACTCAGGAAGACCCCATATCCATGCCTCGGTTTCCCCACCTGGGAAATGGGCTGATCCTAAAGCTTCCTGTTTTCTTTACTGCTTTGTAGGAAGTTGAGAAATAAGAGACGGGATCAGGCTTTGAAAAGTCAGAAGATCCTGGGCAAAGATGAGAGGCTATTTTCAGGAAAAAGGTTCTGTCAGAAGTGTCCCAAGTGGACATTAAAAGCCAGGCTGTCCCTGCTTAGACTGCCCGGGGAACGGAGGAGAAAGGCTGCAGGTGCCGACGCTGGCCTTCTGGGCATCACCTTCCTCCCTCCAGACCTCATCGGGTACAATGACCAAATGTAGCCACTTCTTTCAGGCTTCCAGTCCAGAGCGTGGAAGGTTGCTTTGACCTTGGGCGGACTCCGAAGGGCAGGGGAACCTCTGTCTGGCCTGTTGCAAGGGCTGCTTTAGGCTGAGACATCTTAAATCTGCCAGCAGCTCGCCTGCCTCTGGAAGGAAGCTTCCTGCCCCTAAATGGGTCCATTGCATGGGGAGAACTCTGTCTCATTCCAAAAAGGACGGAAGCCCCTCTTGGCACAGTCTTTGATCTCAGGAGTAATATGAAAATGGAGGGAACTCAAATCAGGAAAACAGAAGGGCTTTGGGCAAAAATCATGGGACGCCATCCTAAACGCAGCTGTGGTGGTATCATGCAGATAAAGCTGGGGTAACCGCCTCAGGCAGGGTGCGGCCTTGTGGCAGGGGTCTCTACTCTGGTCTGCTTCTGGGCTAGATGTGGTTGGGCTTGCAAGGTTCTCACAGAGGCAGACCATGGCTGAGATCCTGGTTCCTCTCTCTGCCAAATCCTGGTTGCAGCGACGTGGCCGATTCCATATTCCAGATCTCCACAATCAGGTTCTTAGCAGGGACGCTCCTTTAGGAAGCTTGGCTGTGCTTCACAGTGACAACTGGAGACTCATGCACTCATGGGACCTAACGCTTGTCCTCCCGGGGCTACCTTGGCCCCTAGAGGGCACTGGGCATGTCTGGAGACATTTTTGCTTGTCATAGCTGGGGAGAGGGAGTGCTGGTGGGGAGAGGCCCCAGACACTAAGTATTCTGAAGTGTACAGGACAGGCGCCCATGACAAAGAACGGCCTGGCCCTGTGTGTCAGTAGAGCCAGGGTGAGGGCCCCGTGCTAGGCAAGCCGGACACTGTGGCTGGGCTCTGCGCGGGACTCCTCTCTCTCTCATCAGGGCCGGTGCTCACTGTCGCTGCTTTACTATCTCTGCAGTTCCTGGAGTCTTGTGATGAAGTCATTCTTTTGGGAGATGGAGAGATTTGCGAGAAGGGAACCCACAGGGAGTTAATGGAGGAGAGAGGGCGCTACGCAAAACTGGTTCACAACCTCCAGGGGCTGCAGTTCAAGGTAGCACACACCTGGGCGCCTGGGGGCTGAGGTCCGGCCCCCCTACCCCGACTCTGGCCTGGGGAAGGTCCCTTGCTCCGCCTGCAGAAGGCATGTCATTCGTCTCCAGGACCCCGAGCACATATACAACGCAGCGATGGCGGAGGCCCGTAAGGAGAGCCCCGTGGACGGAGAGGAAGGTGCGGTATGACCTGAGTTCGAGTGACGCCTCTCTCGTTACCCGGGGCTCACCAGTGGAGACAGACCTCTCTGTTTCTCACCTAGTTTTGGCTCCAGGAGGTGAGAAAGAGGAAGGAAAAGAACCTGACACAGGCTCAGAATTTGTAGATGTCAAAGGTACTTACCGTTCCCTCCCCCCACCTACTCTCCTACATATTGGTTGAGACCCACTGCTTGGGACAGAGAAGTGGCTGCACAGTGCGTGGCCTTCGGGGTGACTAGAGTTCTGTGGTTTCCTGCCTGAGTCCGAGTCCTGGCTAAACCGCTTACTAGTTTTATGACTTGGAGCAAGGTAACGTGGCCACTCGGAGCCTGAGTTTATCAATTCGTAAAATGAGGAAATAATAACACCAACCTTGTGGGTTCTTGCAAAGATTATTTAAGAAACTGGACATAAAATAATTGGTACAGTGCTTGACATAGAACAACTGTCAATAGTTATTATTATCATTAGTTGAAAAGATAAAGCAACGTGCAGAGATCGAGCAGATTCATTAGAGGCGAGAGTGCACGCAGGGCTGCTGCTCAGCGCTGAGGACTGTGCGCAGGAGGGGGCGAGGCGGGCGCGGTGGTTCATTCTCTCAACAAGTAAGGACTAAGCATCCTACTATGTGCCAGGCACCCAGCTAGGCTGAGGAGAGGAAGAAAATACGCCCCTGTCCGTAGGGCCTGGTGGGGGTCACGGGCCCGTGGAGCATCATGGGAAGCTGTGGTGAGAATAATGGGGAGTTGTAGTCAAAGTAGCAAATCAGGGAGGGCTGCACAGAGTAGGCGACCTCCAGATTGATCCTTCGAGGGGGTGTGTGGGAGTTTGCCAGGGACACTGGTGAGAAGGTGGGGAGAGGGGAAGATTTGGGCTTGAGGACCAGAGGGAATTCCAGGAAGGCAGAGAGGAGGGAGGTGGGAGATGAGCCTGCTCAAGCTGCCTCTCCGCGTCCTCAGGCCCTGTCGCCATCCATCCCTTCACCCACCTTACACTGCTGAGCACCTGCTCTGCGCCCTGCCCCACGCGGGCACCAAGAGGACAGGGCTCGAGGCCCACAGCCTCTCCTCAAAGCGTCCACAGCGAGTGGCTTTCCCGCTTAGAATTCTCTTCCTCAATAAAGTGCAGATAAAAAAACCCTCAGAACATTTCCTCAGATTTCAGATGCCATCCATTTTAAGATCCCCATCGTTTACGTACTCCTGTGCTTAGAGGGAGACTCTGCCAACCAGACAGTATGGCACCCCACGAACGGGAGGACGTCTGCCTTCAAAGGCGCTAACGTGAAAAAACGTGTCTTCGAGTGGATGGGACTTGGCACCGTAACAGTGCTTGTGACAAAAGTGTGCACATTTGGAAGAACAGCATATTTTTATTGTGCTGGAGGTGACCCAGTCCCCGCTCCCATGCTCTCCCGGGAAAGCTCCCGGCTGCGCGGGATTCGGGGTCTTGTGCCCTTTGCCCGCTCACCCCCTTCTCTGGGGAGCATAGTGCAGTTGTGAAATTAAGTGATCTGGAAGCTATGGGGAGGAAACCAGTTAAAGGCGAGCTGCTGGCCAGGCTGGCTCAGGCGGGGCATTTGCTGGAGCGCAGCAAAGGTGAGCCGAGACCAGCAGCGACCCTCAACCCTTGACCCTGGCTGGGGCTGGCATTTAGCTGTCCTTTCCTTCTTTGGTCCAGGAGGCCGGTCATTAGGCTGTGCCCGGCAGAGGTGGCTCTCTCATTTTGCAGTCCCAGAGTCCCAGAGGGAGACACAATGAGCCAGAGTCAGGCTGAACATTTTCAAAGAAGCGCAAAGGCTCCCGGGCAAGGGCCTAATGATGGCTGTGTTCACAGAAGTGCTTTGAGGTGTGAAAGCAGCCTCTGCCCGGCAGGATGCAGGCAGCCAGGGCCAAGGAGCCCCCGAGCCTAGCTCTGTTCATCGCTATTTATAAAAGCCAATGAGGTTCAGGCTTCTGCTTCGGGGCTGACGTTTTCATGTTTCCCTGGAGGAGAGGGGAGAGAGATGCACTCAGTCCCGGCTGCTGGAACGGCTTCAGCCAGACCCCTGGACCTCTGATGTGGTTTCCATGAGAACTGACGGCCATTCTCCCGTTCCCTGGGAAAACAGAGAGCACCTGGGACAGCCACGTGGAGGGAATCGGGGGTCCAGGCAGGGGCTGGCCCAGGAGGACACCTGGGTGTCTTCTGCATGAACCCAGAGAAGACGGGCCACTTCCTTCTTGTCCTCCCCGCCCCCCAGAAGCTGTGGGTGCCCGTTCGCTTCCGTGCTCGCAGCCCCCTCCCAACGGCGCCTCTGCTCTCCTGTGCCCGTGCCCCTCTCTGGCAGCAGCTGGTTGAAGGTGAAACTGGAAATGCTGAGAATTAACCCCCCAGGGAGCTGCCATCCCCCAGGGGCCAACGGGAGCTGGTACAGAAATATCCCAGATTCCTCAGATCACATGGAAAACCTCTGAGCTCTGTGACCTGCCCTGGGCCCAGATTTCCCTACACGGGATTGAGACGTGGTTGGCCTGCTGCACGACGCCCTTCACTGTCGCCTCCTCCGGGCTTCCCTGGTCCCTTTAGCTCCTGCCTAAGCTGCGGCATTCATAACCTCTCTTTAGGACCTGTTTCTGGAGAACTCGACGACGACCTCCCCTGTCTCCCCAGGGTCGAGCACATAGTAGGTGCTTAGTAAATATTCGTTGAAAGACCGAACTTCACCTGCCCCCCAGGGCTGTAATGAGAACCAAACAAAATAAAATGAGCAACGTGCGTCAGGAATTTGGAAGCACAGGGCAAACGGCAGGAAGGATGATACTGCCCAGGGGGTGGGGTGTTATGTGGGAGGGTCACCTGCTTCACTGGGCTTCCACCCCCCCAGTGGGAGCTGCAGGACTTGTGTTTGTCCCCGTAGCTCCTCTGCACCAGCTGGTCCAGACCGAATCCCCCGGGGAAGGAACGGTGACCTGGAGAACATACCACACATACATTAAGGCGGCTGGAGGTTCGGTATCAAACAACGGGCTTCTTATTTACTTTGCATTTTAAGAAAATTCCTTCTTAGATTCTTGGGTTCACGTTTTTTATGATTTCTTTAATAATTACTCTCTTTAGGCTAAGGCTGTTTACCAATGCTTTTAATTTTTCCCCTAAGAATCTAAAGTCTGATAATACAGCCTTTAAAACGGAATCGTCCTCTAGCTCCAGGAAGGCTGCTGGGCTCTGTTTGCTGGCATGAGCGGCCATGTAACCCAGCGGTGGCTCCTCCGTTGCCTCCTCTCCTATCGTCACCAAGCATATCAGCAATCAGCTCGGTGTCCATAGTTTCACTCCCAGTCTCTCCCCAGCAAGAACGGGCTTCTACCTGTTTGTTTCTAAAGAATTCGGAGTCACTTCTATTAGAGAGTCTAGTGGTGGTTTTTCCAAAAGTTGACACCTGGGATCTATTTTTCAGCCGGCTGACAGGTGCCCACACCCAGACCTGTCCCATCAGCTGGAAGGGGGCTCCCAGAGGTGGGGAGCCTTCCCCTGCAGGTTTTAAATTTCCCGTCAGGGCTGGGCCTAGGAAGCTAGGCCCGCTGTGGCCTCTTGGCCTCTGGAACCTGCCAGACCTCTCTGCCCTCTTGCAGGCTACCTCCTCTCCCTCTTCACAGTGGCCCTCTTCCTCCTCATGATCGGCAGCACTGCCTTCAGCAACTGGTGGCTGGGTTTCTGGTTCGACAAGAGCTCCCAGGTGAGCGTCCCTCCTGAACTGTAAAAGGCTGAGAAAGTGGCTCACGGGGAGTCCCGCTCCACTGATCCTACCTGAGTGCGCCTGCCTCCTGTGTCCCCTGCTCACTAAGTTGAGGCCCGTTGCTTACACCACATGGTTCGGATCCTGAAATCCCTTCCACTTTTCAAGAAGAACAAGGCACCGGAGTTCTGTGTGCCACCTTCCGTTTTTAAAGCACTGGCTGAAAAGATTGTGCCAGGCAGATCTGGCACATCCGGTGGCTCAGGATAGGCTCTGTTTTGCAGCCTCGGTTGTAAGGCTCCTGAGGAGGGGCCGAAGGGGCTGGGAAGGCCTAGCACAGATCCGTGTCTTCCTGCCTCTGAAGGGGACTGGCATCTTGTCGGTGACCCTGCTCTATGCTAGAGGGTTCCACCCTGCATGGCTCTGCTCCCCAAAGTCCCTCTGCAGGAACAAGGCACGCCAGAGTCAGACTCATCCCTGCATATGCCACAGGGCCCTCAGTGTCTCTCTCCGTCCGAGACTGGTCTAGGCCAGGGCCCCTCCTGGGAAAGACTGATAAACCTGCTCTCGCTTGAGCTTGCTGGAAGCTTGCCCAGCTTTTGGCCAATGCTTTCCAAGCTCCCCTGGAGCCCTGCAGAATGCCGTGGGGTTGCCTACTCATCTGCCAAGGTTACATTTGGGCACAGTTCTGTTGCTATGACAACCAAAGTGAGCAGGCACTGGGGAAATGTGGGCAGGAGAGGCACTACAGCCCCCTGCAGTTTGGCAGAGCTTCCTGAGGCCATTCCCGGGAGAGAAGCCTGCGGGTGGCCGGTCCTGCGCAGCAGGAGAGCCATTTCTGCAGAGTCTAACTTCCCCAGGTCCGGGCTCGCTCTCGAGGAGCCTTTCCTTGGAGAGCCCAAGGTTTCGGTCAGGGTGCAGCCACCTCCTAGGCAGTGCCAGAGGCTAACTGAGCAGGCAGCAACCGTGGCAGATCTGTGTTTGCCGTGCCCCAGCCTCGGGGCACAGCCGAAGGCCCAGCAAGGCCTCCTCTTTCATCATTAGCTCCCTGGGGATGTGTTTACTTTTAAGGACATCCGTCCATTAGCGGCCACCTCTGGTTTACATTCTGCTGTTGCTGTCACCAGCAAAGCGACATTTAGGAGAAGGGTGCTTGTTTTCCCCCCAAAGGCAGTCCTGACTTTTAGCATGTGACTCAGAGAAAAACAGAACAACAGTTTCTCAGGAGGAGGGGATGGCCTCTCTCTAGAAATGCTGGCAAAAATGTGTGTTCTTCCTGGGGGTGAGGGTGGGGTGGAGCCACAGGAGGTCTCCTTGATTGTCCCAAGCCCGTGGTCCCCCCAACCCCCCCCCCCGGGGACTCCAGGGCAGAGCACCTGAGAAAAGGAAAGGGGGGCCTTGGGGCTGTGCTATCACAGAGAGTGCCCTGGAGCCAGAGGCCTGCCGCTGTCTTCCACTTGGCAGCTGCGCAGGGTGGAGGCAGGTCCCTGAATGCAGATGTCCTTTGCTCCTGTCATCCTCCTGGCCCATGGTCAACTCTGGTGTCCTGAGGCACAGCTGGCTTCTGGGATAGCTGCCCTGTGCCTGCCTGGCTTGTCTCCTTTGCCTTCCCACTGATGTGCCCAACCACCTAAGTCAGGTGCCCCTTGGGGCCCCAGTGGCCCAGCAGGAGGACCCGTGCAAAGCTCAGAGGCTGCCAAAGGGAACTGACTCAGTTCTGCCAGCCGGTTCATTCTTAATAATGAGCTCTTTTTAGTTTATTCTTTCTGGAAAACTCCTACTCTCTCTTACCAATTCTTGTTTTTTTTTCTTGCTTTTCTCCAAAGATGACCTGTGGGCCCCAGAGCAACAAGAGCAAGTGTGAGATTGGCGGGGTGCTGGCAGACACTGGGCAGGGCGTGTACCAGTGGGTATACGCAGGCAGCATGGTGTCCGTGCTGGTGTTCGGCATCACCAAGGGTTTTGCCTTCACCAAGGCCACCCTGATGGCATCCTCCTCGCTGCATGATCGCCTGTTTGACAAGGTACTGCCCCCGGAGCTGCATATGCCACTGTCTGAGAAGAGTCTCCCACTATCTAATTACCAAGAGTGAAAGCAAACCCCAGGGAGCTCTGGGAGAGGTGTCATGGGCCCCCAGGCTAGGCTGGGGGTGCTCAGAAAGGTTCCCCAAAGATGCTACACTGTGGCAGACATGAGCAGGCTAAGTGCATCTCCTGCTCCAAAGAGCCCTGGGTGCATCGAGGGCCTCAGGAAGCACTTCGGGCCCCCTCCTCACGCCACTGCTGTGAGGGCCCTGCGGAGTGCACAGGTGGCCCATTCTTAAGTGGAACTTAGCTTTCTATTGCCCTTGGGCCCAAAACCCCTGCATCCTCCAAAGGGACCCCAGGCTGCACCCCAGGTTTGGAGGGAAGCTGCACATGGAGGCTCTCATTCATGGTGGCCACAGAAAGGGGAGCATCCTCACCTGCCCCGCACTGCTGGCACCAGATGTCGGGCCCTGGAAGGAAGGTCAGGCCCTGCACTCACATCCAGCCCAGCAGAGGGGCCGAGGTTTACTGGACACACACCTTAAACTCATGGACTCTCCACTGTGCCCACAGATCTTACGGAGCCCGATGAGCTTCTTCGACGTGACTCCCACAGGCAGGCTCATGAACCAGTTTTCCAAGGACATGGACGAGCTGGACGTGAGGCTGCCCTTCCACACGGAGAACTTCCTGCAGCAGCTCTTCATGGTGCTGTTCATCCTCGTGGTCCTGGCGGCCGTGTTTCCGGCCACCCTGCTAGTCCTGGCCGGCCTTGCTGTGGGCTTCCTGGTTCTTTTACGGTAGGTCGATGCACTGCTTTTAAAAAGGGAGCAAGCCAAGCCTGCACAGGCTTGGGTAACTCCATACCATGACTGGCTGTATCAGGTGGCACCGAGTCCTGTGTCCTGGAGCTGTAACCCCCAGGGGGGTTGTGCCCTGCAGGGGGCTCTGTTTTAAAGTCAGCTCCTGAGGCTACCAGGACGTTTACTCAGAATACCTTTGAAAATGCCTTCAGAAGACCACACATCAGATTTTCCTCCCGGATTGGGAAAGTTCCCCTTTTTTTTGCTTGGGCACCAAAAGTGGCCGGCTATATTTAGAGGCTGCACAGTATGAAAGATTTCGGTCTTAAAGGCTAGAAGACATTGCATGTGGCGAGCTGCTCACACTACAGGCAGCACAGAACTAAGACCACGGGAGGGAAGGGCTCGCATTCCTGAGGCTCACACTTATGAGACCCCATCCCCCACCCCCCACACACCCAGGATGGCCCCTCCTGGAGCAGAGCATGGGCCAAGCCCTGACCCTAGTTAGACGCAGCCTGCCTGGCTCTAACTGTCTTGAATGCAAAGTCAGGTCTGTATGTGCTGAGGTGAGCCCTCTGAGGCCCTACCCGGACGCCCTCTTGGTCCTTTGATCTCCCCACAGCATCTTCCATAGAGGAGTCCAGGAGCTCAAGAGGGTGGAGAACATCAGCCGCTCACCCTGGTTCTCGCACATCACCTCGTCAATGCAGGGCCTGGGTGTCATCCACGCCTATGACAGGAAGGAGGACTGCCTCAACAAGTGAGTCCTGGCCTGCGGCTCGGCCTCAGGGGTCACAGCAACGCGTGGCCGCTCCAGGCTGCTGGGAACCGCCGGAGGGGCAGTGCAGGCCGAGCCTCTCAGACACAGCCCCTCTTCCTGGTGTCGGGGCCCCAAGATGGGAGCTCATTCAGTGGCAGCATTAGTATGAGATTTAACATATTTATTTTTTCACTCTAAAAGTAAAGTGTGTTCAATTTAGGAAAATAGGAGACAACAGGAAACAGAAAGAGAAGTCACCCAAAGGTTTCCAACCCCAATCCTGTGAATATTTTCACATATTTCCTTCCAGTCTTCTTTTTCTCTTTCTGAAATATTTGTAATCATTTTTGTCCTGCTTTATTTTTAAACAGCATTTTTCATGATATTACATATTCCTTGTCAAAAAATTTTTAAGGTCATGTTACATTTCACCCAGTGGACAAGGCCAGTTTCTTTCTTTATAAAGTGTGGGGACCAGATTAGAATATTTCCCTGGAGTCTCCCAGCTCCAAACTTCTAAAACACAACAGAATCGCACAGAGTCGCTGGGCATGAATCACAGTAGATTCACTGCAGGAGCAAGCAACTCCTAATTTTAAGAGCTTAACACAAAACATGTTTATTCCTCCTCAAGTCACAATGAATGGGGGTCCGTGGGCAGGGGCAGGGATTGTGCACAATCTCTTTATTGGCACTTGTCCATCTCAAGGGTCTTGGGGACTTCTCCAGGGTCCTCTGTGTCTAACTGGTAGATAAGGGGAGAGATTTGGGTGGAGGACCCGTATGAAATTTTTATTGGTTCAACCCCAATGAAGATGCTTATCATTTCTGCACATTCATTGGCCAGATTTCAGTCACCTGGGCTCGCTTAACTGCAAAGAAGTTTGGGAAATGTAGTCCAGCTGTGTCCATAGGGAGAAAAGCAAATGGAGTTTGGTGAATCTATAGCAGTGTCTGCCACATAAGTTTTTCATTTGTTTTTTGTTTTTTTACACTTATTTACTCATCCAACATGCATTGAGTGCCTTCCATGTTCTTCACAAGATACTGCAGCAACAAGAGTTTTGAGTGGGGGGGGGG